GTGCTGAACGTGCACACCATGGAGGAGCTCAAGTTGACCGGCAACAGCATGCTGGGGTGGGGGCCCCTCTTTAATTTTGACGCCAAGTTTGCCCAGATTCCCCACGGGGGGGGAGGTTTTTTTAGTTGTTGGTGCGGGGGGTAAGGCTTGAGCCCCCTTTGGCAAAGTAGGAAGGAACGTTCGGCCGTGGGTGATCGGTCCAGTGAGAGCAATGTTTTGTCCTTTGGGGGAGGGTTTGTCAATGGTTTAGCAATTAACACAGGCATGGGAAACGGGGGCCCCCCATCCCTCCCCCCGGGGTTTTTTGTCCTTTCCCTTTTTTTCATCAGGCCCCCTTTTGGGGCCCCCCCCCCCCCCTTTTGTCGTCTTCGGCTCTGTCTGTCTCTCACTCTCTCTGTTCGGCAAGGGTGGTGAAGGGGATCCTGAAGGACATTTTCAACACCCCTAGGGGACACCCCAAGAGCAAGCCGTTCATCGACAGGGTCATGGTGAGAGCTGCAGCAGTGCACCCACTAGGTTCTTTACAGTGCACCAGGCACACACTCCCGCCACGTCCATGCGCGTGCCGGTTTGTTTCCGTTATTTTCTGACAGTTTTGCCGTTCTTTTCTGGGTGTCAGAGGAAAAGAAATCTTGTCAGCTATCTCGCTGCCCCCCCCGGGCAACGCTATTTAGCGGGTGGATCGGTGCCGTTTCGTACCTATAGCATACCAGGGAATGTAAACCTTCTCTGCGCGGAGGATGAAGAGTCATCTCTCCTCGAAACGTTACCTGACCGAGATTTGGTTGTCGACTAGGTGTAGTGGTGGGGAGCGCAAGCACACGCACGTTGTTCGCTGGATTGGATGGACGAGAATATACCCCTTTCCGTTGTCACGTGAAGGAGAAGGCTTGTTTTTTATATTCCCCCACGTGCCCCCCCCCCCCCAGTCCTTCTTCGTGGCGGATGGCAAGGTCTGGGTCCGAAATTACCAGATCGTGGACAAGGGTGATGGTTCTACCACGGGACTGAAACCGCAAGATCGAGGCGGCCACCGCCGCCGCAGGCGGCGGAGGGGAGGGGACGGGCACGGAGGATCCCCTGAGCCTAGTCGAGATGGGGGCCCCGGTTCGTCCTCAACCCCATCCGCGTCTTCGCGGGCAGCTTCGGGGGCCCCACGCTGTACAACAACGCGGCGTACGTGTCGCCCAACGACGTCAGGTCGGCGAGGAAGAGGAAGGCCGGGACGAAGTTCGAGGATCGGCAGGAAGCGAAGAAGGTCGTTCGGGGGAAGAAGGCCGAGCCCGCAGTGCCCCGGGGTCCCCTGGACGACCTGTTTTCGGGATAAAATTAAGAATCTTGTGGTGCTTGGCGGCAGCACGTGTTTTGGAAGAGGCGTAGGGTCCATGCAGACGCATTTCTCGGGATAACGAAAAGGGATGGTTGTGCTTGTTGGTGTGGTTGGCAGCAGGTGTTTTGGAAGAGGCTTAGGATCCATGCGGACGCAATCAGAGTGTCGGAAATTGTTCTCGGACTAAAAAGAAAAAAAATGCGACGCTTGGTGTGGTTGGCGGCAAGTGTTTAGCCTGTGGACGGACGCACGCATTTGCTTTGCTTTCGAAAGAATAAACCCCACCATGGCGCACGGAAGGTGTGTGGGGTGCGGCTGGCTGGCTGGCTGTGTGTGCATCGTGCGTGTGGTTTCAGACCGTCCGGGCGCCTTGTGTCTGGTTTGGGTGCCTGTACCCATATACATACCTGACCTGTTGAGGTGACGTTGCACGACATACACAAAAGCTTGATGCGGTCGATGGGTTTGGTTTCGCCGGAAGGGATTGAGGGACAAGGAGGGGGGGCGCCTGTGCGTGGCTCAGAAGACAAACTGCGTCGACCGTGCTTGGTCCGGAGGATCGAGCTAGAGTAAACCGTGTGTTGAATGAATCCTCTTACCTCCTCATGTTTCGTCGTTACGATGCGGTTCTGTGGGATGGATATTGGTACGCTGTCTCGAAGTGGAGTTTTGGTTTTGGGGGGGGGGGGGGGAGACGGGGGGCACCGCGAAGGAGACGGAACTCGGCTGGGGTGTTTCGGCCACGTGTTCGTCGAGATGGACCAATATCTCTCGCAGTTTGCTCGAAGCGGATAATTTGGTTTCGACTGCTGTTCATGCATGATACACGGACGAGTGCTCGTTTGCTTTTGGTGAGGCCAGATCGGTAGAAGTTGTTTCGCCCT